ATGAGGCGAAGGACGCATTGGACGATGTGTTTAAGCCGAGTAATCTGGTGGTTTTTAGTGCGAAGCGAAAAGACTCCATCGTAAAAGCGCGGCAATCCATCGAGCAAGCGATCATCGACAAACCGAACCTCAGTATTACGATGCCGGCGACCTACTCACAAGTTTTGGCGCAGATTGTCAAGACAAGACGACCCGATGCAAACGCGACACCAGCAAACCGAGTGAAGCAAGTGATCGTGCCCTTCCGTGCATTATTCAACAAGCTAATGGATGTTCCGAATTTAGAAGACGCAGGCAAATGTCAAGCGATTCTTCGAGTTCTGCACAACCTGGGGGATATCCTATGGTACGAAGACAATGGCAAAGACAGAGACAGTATCGCCAACCCTGACGAGTTGATTATTCTCGACCCGAAACTGATGCTTGACATTGTCCGCGAGGTCGTCAATCACAATTACGATACGCGGAAAGGCAATCTTTATGAAGCGCTTCGTCGTGATGGCACGCTACATCACTCGCTGCTCATAACATTCACGTGGTGGGAAGCATTGAAGGAAGCAGGTGACAATATGGTACCGCTGTTCAAGCGCTTTCTACAGCACTTCAACTTGGCGTACCCAGCAAGCATCGCGGAGAAGCTCGACGAAGTCGACATGATTGTACCGATGTACTGGAAAACGAGAGCAGAAGCTCAAGAGACAGTCAAACCATTGGCAAAACAGCCATCCATGTTGACGCGAATCAACGTCACTGGGTCGGCCTTTGCAAAGTGGCAGTACTCGCTACCCGCCGCCATATCCGAGGCTGTGTATGTGAACTTCGTGGTGCAATGCTACCGGCAAGACGCCGCTCGTAACGTCGGACCGGCTCACGTCGAGTGTTTCGTTCGCGGTGAGTTTTGCGCCGTCATCAAGTTTGTTGCTGACAAATCGGGGCGATGCGACGACATCGTGATCGAAGTGGCTGCGGCAACACATGAGGTTGCGTGGGCGGAGATGCGGGACATTGTCATGTCGATGGAGAATGTTTTGCGCAAGTACCCAGGTCTGAAGTCAACGAAGCAGGGAATGCTCGAGCGGTACATCGTAAAACCCGATGACGATGGCGAACATGATCACATAGTGGTGAGCGGTCTAGTTGCTAATCCATCTGAGCTGAAACGAAAGCGACTCAAGATGCCATGGTTGCCTCTTGATTTCGACTGGTATATCCAGCGCGCGTGGGAAAATCCGGGGAAGCTCGAAGAACTTCGAGCACAGAAGATCACGCTTCAGTTACCCCATCGACTGGATGTGTTGAGGCAGCTCGTAGTCAGCAGTGAAACTCGCCAATTGCCAGCGCTGTGGACACTGTTGTATTCGAAGGAAGCATCAGAGATTGTGCTTCGCATACACAGCGACATATCAGGGCTGTGCTACCATGTGCCGCTGCGGATTACTGTCCCAAATAAATTCGTCATGGAGCACAGCGACTCCATTCAGGTGAACTTTTGCTCATCTGATTGTTGGCTGAGAACGCTGGTGCGAGACTTATCGTTTTTTGCTGAATAGGCTGGTGTTTTAGTGCTCTCGGTTCTCTCCTCGCTGATTCCAACCGACATCGCTAAAACTGCCGTGGAGATGGCGCTATCTGGTACTGTAACAAATGCTTGATCGTTCGATTCGAGTTTGTGGATTACTGACACTGAACTGTATCAAACATTTGCGCCGTAGTATCAAGCACTGCACTAGATCACGCACAGACAGTCAACTCGAT